GTGTCCTGATGGGGGGTCAAAACTGCAACCTACATATTTGCCCTGACCAGAGATCGACCCTGCAGACTTTCGATGTATTGAACAGCGCTCCAACCAACTGAGCCATCCACACAGGTTCATTGTCTTACTTGGTTATCCATCCAGATTCCCAAGCCTAAAGCCCCAAAGATCAATCTTGACACCTTTTGCTTCCTTATTTCTCACTTCCAGTTAATCATTAGTCCTGTTTATTTATCTCCTCTCTAATCTGTCTATTTATGACCCTCCCCACTGTGACCATCCTAGTCTAAGCTATTGTAACAGTCTCCTACTTGGTATGTTTACATCCACTCTTGCCCTCTTCCAATCAATTCTTTTCCTTTTCTTTAAGATTTTACTTAATTATTTTTTTTAGAGAGGGGAAGGGAGGGAGAAAGAGAGAGAGAGAAACATCAATGTGCAAGAGAAACATCAGTCAGTTGCCTCTCGCACACCTCCAGCTGGTTCCTTGCCCACAGCCCAGGCATGTGCTCTGATGGGGAATTGAACCAGCAACTTTTCAGTTCATATGGGCTGGCACTCAATTCACTGAGCCACACAAGCCAGTTCATCTATTCTTTACCTCTATCTGAAATGTTTTTTTTTTTTTAAGATTAATCTTACCATGTTTTTCTCCAGTGTGAAACCTTTCAAATTGTTACTCAGGATAAACCCCCAAATCTTTAACTACTCCATAAGAACTTCCTTGTATGTCCTGGGCCCTAACTTTCTTTCTATCTGGGGCTCCTGCCTCTCTCATTCTTAGACTCTATACTCCAAGCGCTAAGGATTTCTTTCAGTTCTTCTAGCATACTATGCTTCTTTCCACCTCAGAGTCTTTACATATGCCATTTCCTCTGCCTATTATCACTCCTCTTTCTCTATACTTATCCTACCAATCCTTTAGAGTTCAGTTAAGTTTAAATACTAAATCGTAATCAAGGTTTTGCCCTCATGATGTAAGTTTTTTTGTGTTTTTTTTCCCATGTGTTTGTTTTGGGTTTGTTTTTTTTAAAAATTTTATTTTAATTTATTTTTTCAAATACATTTGTCTCTGCCTCCCCCCCACCACTTTCCCTTGCCCCCTCCCTCCTTCCCTCCCTCAGCTCTTCCCCTTTGGTTTTGTCCATGAGTCCTTGCTATATGTTCCTTGACTTTCCCCTTCCCTTCCTTTTCCCCGCCCCCCTCCCTCCTTCCCTCTTGTCTCTACTGTTTTGGGGGTTTTTTACATACATAAGATTATTAGGAGATGTGTCTTAATTTGGGGTAATTGACTAATGTTGAAATCTCTGGAATTATCAGTATTTAATGGGGAGGTGATAATAAATGTTCTTCATCATTTTATAAAATTCCAAATAGGCCTAATTATTTCTTTAAATATCATTGATTAATCAGTATCTTAGGTTTTCTTAAGTCATTACACCTTATGTTAGGAATTTTATTTCACAATAAGATCTATGTTGAATAAACAAAAGAATAAGAATTAAGTATAGTAAGTAAACACATGCCATATGTGGATTTTTATAATAATACCCATTACAGAAATAATATGGATGTGCTCTCAGAATGCTAAGGATTCTAGTTTAGCTTTGTGAAACTGAGACCTCCAAAGCTTAAAAATAAAGAAACAGCCCTTGCCAGTGTGGCTCAGTGGATTGAGTGCTGGCCTGAGAACCAAAGAGTCACCGGTTTGATTCCCAGTCAGGGCACATGCCTGAGTTGTGGGCCAGGTGCCCAGTAAGGGGCACACAAGAGACAACCACACATTGATGTTTCTCTCCCTCTCTTTCTCCCTCCCTTCCCCTCTCTGAAAATAAATAAATAAAATCTTTAAAGAAAAAAACAAACAATTTATTAACTTTCTAGGCAAATGAATATAAACCAGTGAAGGTGTCAATGAATAGTTTGCAGAAGAGGAAAATTCAGGGTATTTTAGGTATTAGGAAAAGAGCATCATAATGGTTATACTTATAGCAGCTGATAACTATCACTGTATATAGGGCAGAGTGAATCCAAAGTATGTACATGACTGATTAAAACAGTTCCATTGTTCAGAAGTCAAGAAAGAATATTCAGTTAGGTCCAGTAATGGTCTAGTGAACTGGAGTCACTCAAAGTTCATGATCAGTTATCCACTTAAGCTGGTTAGAACCAGTTTTGATGAAATACAACACTCAGTTTTGATATAATTTAGGTAAATTGTTCTGTAAGTAGAGGATTTTCCTTGTACAGCTTGAATGGATGTATGGAATTTGGATTGTTACAATTGGGGTAGAGGAACTTTTACTTCTCTCTTTAATTAGTTAGATTTATACTATGTTTCTTCTTTAAAAGATATCAAAACACATCTTAAGATGGGGGAAATTTTATTAGTTAGCTTTTGCTGCATAACAAAGTACCTCAAAACTTAGTGGCTTAAAGCAATCATCATTTATTTGCTCATCATTTTTTTGGTTGGTAACTTTGTGCTGGGCTCATGGCTCTTCACTGCTCCACATGGTAACAGTTGGACTTACTCATGCATTGCAGTAAGATGTCAATTGATAGCCTTAAGCACTTGTCTATTAGTTGGCTGGCTGCTAAAACAATGGAGGTAATGCTCATCATCCAGCAGACTAGTCTAGGCTCATTTCCAAGGTGGTGGTGGAAGAGCTCCTAAGTTCAATAATAGGGCCCCAAAATTCAAGCATTTTTTTTTCCTTTTCAGTTTTATTGTGATATAATTGATAGCATTTTTCAACTTTCTTCATGCATATGTTGGCTAATGGTCCATTGGCCAAAGCAAGTCACGTGGGCACAGAAATACACTCCCCCTCTTTGTGGGAGGAGGTGCAAAGTTACATTGCATACAAACAGACATGGATACAGGAATAAGAAGAATTTGTGACCATTTTTGCATTTTACCACACTAGTTTTATTCTCCTATCCAGTATCCTTAAATGTGGATTTATACTTATATTTATACTGCTTGCAGTTTATGTCTACTCTTCTGCTCAAAATGAAGAGTTTTGGATTCTATAGAGTTCTGTTGATTGATGTGGATATCATCATAAGATAATGAAGACCACAGGATAGAAATTTTATTCATTCCTTGAATGAGTTACATAATCACTTTAAAGTCATTTAGATTATATTTTCAGTCTCACGTCTAGTAGTCCTAAAGCACAAAGCCACATTTTCTTTCTAAATGTGGTCATTAAAAAGTGGGAGGGAATGATGTCTGAGCCAAGACATAAAAGATATGAAGGACCTAGTAAAGCAAAGAGAGGGATAAAAGTATTTCAGGCAGATGGAACTATGACAGAAACCCAATTTTGTTAATCCATTTTTGTGGTGCAATGATTAATATGCATAAGAATCTGGAGACACCCAGGACTTATTACACAACATTGTTTATTTGACTGTTCTGCATTGGACTCTAATCTTTATAATAGCAGAATCCATAATAGGTGCTCAATAAATGTTTGTGTAGTGAATAAAATATGTTTGTGTAATGACTAACTTAGTGAGTGAATAGTGAGAAAAAAGCTAGAAGAAAGACAGACACAGAATAGAGCTCATGCAGGAATGAAAACAGAAATTTAGGAGAATGCTTTATAGAGAAGGGGAAAGAGGGAACAGAGAGAGAAACAGAGAGAGGGAGATAGATAAAGTAGCAGAGGGAGAAACGGTAGGGGAAGAGCTGGGGAGCCAACGGAGGAAGGGACCTGGGAGCTCTGAGATCAGTGGTAGAGGTTTGGCTGCTTGGCAGTTGTATCAGAGGAGCTTAGCTTTTCCTTTAAAATACTAATTAACCTTCCAGCAGTTCAGGAACAGGCCCTTCTACTCTATTAAACCACTTGCTTGTTTGGGGTTTCAAACTTCAAAGTTTATTTTTGAAGGCTTATTTTCCTAGAAAATTTTGAAAGCTTTATGTGGGCATAAAGTAATGACTCAGATTTGGGTTTTTTTTTTTTTTTTATTAGTAGTAGTATTAGTATTAGTATCCAAATAAATTCTTACTGGAAATTCTTTTGCATTTTAAAATCTGTTGGATTACCTTAGTCTCTCTTCTTTGAAAGATGAAGACCTAACTCAAACATTATTAGAAAATAGTATTTGAAACTAGCAGCTATTTTTTTAAAGTATTTTTATGATTTATTTTAGAGAAAGGAGATGGGAAGGAGAAAGAAAGGGAGAGAAACATTGATCAGTTGCATCTCGCATGCCTCCAATCAGGGACCTGGTCCACAACCCACGCAGGTTCCCTGCCTGGGAATCAAACCAGCTACCTTTCAGTTTGCAGAATAATGCCCAGCCCACTGAGCCATATCAGTTAGGGTGAAACTATTTTTATTATTCTGAGCCATTTTGGTGTTTCAATCAAAACCAGTTTGGGGGTTTTGAAGTCCTAATAGTGATTATGAATATAGGAACAACTAAAATCACAATTCTTTCCCCATTTTCTACCTGGATAATACAGCTCTGTCTGAGTACAATGATAACTGTTAAGCTCAGGGGCTGTCAAAGTATTCAACTCTGGCTGGATAAAGGAAATTGGCAATATAAATTCCTAGACAGAAATCAAAAGTTTGGTCAAACGCATTGGAATTACTTGAGAGACTCTCATTTTAAACCTTGAATCAGAGTCCTTTCACAATATTTCTGCATCCAGGGAAGAGAGAGGCCCACCACCTTAAAGCCTTAGTACATTCAACCTTGCTTTTCATGTGTATGTGGCAGGTTCTAGGGCTATTCTTAGTACTTCTTAAGTATAGTGTTTAGGTGGGTAAAATAAGGCCTACCTCTATAAAAAGTCTAATAATAGTAGAAGGCAACCTATGATTAATGTGCCACAGGCTCGAATCAAGGACAATTTCATGGAGAAAATACAGGTACAAAGTTTATATGAGGCTCTGAACTCCTGCATTCTGCCATTTGAACAATCTGAATCAAACTCAATGGTCTCAACTCAACATACCTTCTATCTCTATATCCTTCAGAGTATCCAGGATGAAGGAGAAGGTCAAAGAGAGACAAGAACAAAGAGAATACATAAACAATGTCAAAATCAAGGTGGCCAACACACGGAAACAGGCTCTCCAAGAGCAGTTCAGTGAATGGATTCTAGACCCTAAAGGAATGATTCCTATGACAGTGGTAAGAAAGGGGGTGTATGTGAAGGTTAGGTGGCGTGGAAAATAAGAGGGTGATTGCTGGATTACTGAGTGGAGTACTAAAAACTTCCCTTTAAATTTTCAGGCCTGCTGAGTTAAGACAGTTGTTGGCACATCTAGTCTATGAGAGTAGATTTCTTTAATTTTCTTTTGAGTATTTAAAAAAATTCTAGGGAGAGTTCTAAAATATATTGACTCTGGCTGAGGTTCCTAAATTCTTCATTACAGGCAGACATAGCTTTCATTTGTTTGTTTGTTTTCTGTATGCAGGTGACTAATTACTTCTGTGGGCTAAGAGACTATCTTATCTCCAGAAGACATTTGTACTCTAGGAATTAAGTATTTTCTCTTAGGTATATGAGGTCTGTCCAGAAAAAGTCCAACCAGTTAATATAATGAGAACAGTTTGCGCAACTTTGATGTAACCTGACAACCAAGGAGAGGTGACTGGAATGTACATTTGTGAACAATGACAACTTCATTATACTAGTCAGTGGGAGTGTAGATGCTGTTGAGTGAGCATGTGTACTGTGTGACTGTTGCATTCAAAATGACTAAGCGAGTACAGCCACGAATCTGCATCAAATTTTGCATTAAGCTTGAACATTCCTCCGCAGATATTATTTAGATGATTCAGAAGGCTTTCAGGGGCAATGCAACGAGTGCAGTGCAGATAAAAGTGTGGCACGAACCCTTCAAAGATGGTCGAGAATCTGTTGAAAGTGATCCATATTCTGGAAGGCCTGCAACAAGCAGAACACCTGAGAGTGTTGAATGTTTACGGGCTGCAATCAAGGGCTGCAATCAACAAAGACTGGTGACTGACAGTGTGAGAACTAGAAGCATTCCAAAAACTACTGTGTCCAAGATTTTGATGTAGGATCTTGGCATGGAATGTGTCGTGGCAAAATCCATTCTGTGGCTTCTGCTACCAGAGCAGAAGGAACGTTGTGCTGCAGTTGGGAGAACCATGTGAGATCCCAAGGTACCTACTTTGAAAGGGACTGAGGTGTCATTATCCAATGTGTAGCATTTCTTGTACCTTGTATCTTCAATAAATGTGCCTGTTTTTCATATTACTTGGTGGATTCTTTCTGGGCAGATCTCATATATAGATGCGAGAATACATACTGGTTAGATAAAATGGCAAGCATGCTTTTGGTTCAAAGTGAATTATTTTTTATTGAATTTATTAGAGTGACTGGTTAATAAAAGTAAATAAGTTTCAGGTGTAACAGTTCTATAATAATACATCATCTGTATATTGTATCGTATGTTCACTACCCCAAGTCAAATCTCCTTCCATCACCATTTATCCCCTCTTTATTCTCTTCTACCTTCTCCTTAGCTTTGGTAATCACCGTATGGTTGTCTGTGTCTATGAGGTTTTTTGTTTTTCACTTAATCCCTTCACCTTTTCCATCCAGCTCCCCAATGTCCCTCCCTAAAGTGAATTACTAAAACTAGACCAATGATAGGCCACAGACTGGGAGAAAATATTTGTAAAAGACATATCTGATAAAGAACTATTAACCCAAATATAAAAAGAACTCATAAAACTCAAGAGCAAAACAACCAACCAATTAAAATATAGGTAAAAGACCTAAACAGACACTTCTGCAAAGGTATCCAGATGGCAAATACGCATATTAAAAGATGTTCCACATATGTTATGCAAGTTAAAATGAGATGCAAGTTAAAATGAGATGCTACTACTCACCTATCAGAATTCCCAAATTTCAGAATACTGACAACACTAAATGGTGACAAAGAGGTGCAGGTACAGAAACTCTCATGCTGTTGGTGGGAATGCAAAATGGTATAGCCACTTTGGAAGACAGTTTGGCAGTTTCTTATAGAACTAAACATACTCTTACTATATGGTTCAGCCATCATGTTCCTTGGTATTTACCCCAAGGAGTTAAAAACATGTTCACACAAAAACCATGCACATATTTACAGCAGCTTTATTTATAATTGCCAAAATTTGGAAGAAACAAAGGTGTCCTTCAGTAGGTGAATGGTACATCCAGACAATGGAATATTACTCAGTGTCAGAAAGAAATGAACTCTCACGCCATGAAAAGACGTGACATGGAGGAACATTAAGTGCATACTACTAACTGAAAGGAACCAATTTGAAAGGCAACATACTGTCTGATTCCAACTGTATGATATTATGGAAAAGTTAAAACTGTGGAGGCATTAAAAAGGTTAGTGGTTTCTAGGAGTGAAAGGGGAAGGAGGGATAAATAGGCAGAGCACAGAGGGTTTTTAGGGTGGTAAAACAATTCTGTATGATACCATAGTGATGAATACATGTCATTATACATTTATCAAAGCCCATAGAATGCACAACACCAAGAATGATTCCAAATGTAAAGTAAGAGCCTTGGGTTATGATGTTTCAGTAAAGGTTTATCAATTGTAACAAATGTACCACTGTGGTGGGGGATGTTGATAATGGGGGCATCTGTATATGTGGTAGTAGGCAGAGAGTACATGGGACGTATCTACACTTTTTGCTCAATTTTTCTATGAACCTAAAACTGCTCTAAAGAATAAAGTAAATTTTTAATAAATGGACCAAGGAGAGCTCTGACATTTCTTTTCTTTTTTATAATTTAGGAATGAGAAATTAAAGAGGGCTCTTTGTGTTTTTGTTTTTCACTTAATCCCTTCACCTTTTCCATCCAGCTCCCCAATGTCCCTCCCTAAAGTGAATTACTAAAACTAGACCAATGATAGGCCACAGACTGGGAGAAAATAGTTGCCAAGTAGGTTGACAAAGGTGCCTAGCTCCATCATGCCCAGTGTCTAAGGGTTAATAGAAATGTCCCTGGAGGAGGTAAAATTAGATCATTCTCAGCATTCTAGTTTGTGCACAAAAAGGTTGGGGATCATTGAGAACATATATGTGAAAGCATTTTATATACCTTGAAATTGTCCATAAACTAAATCTTAATTATTACTATTTCTAGATTAAGAAGATTCCCCAGCACTTAAACTAAAAAACTGTAGATGGCTTTAGTCTAATATACTAAATATATGGTGATGGAGAAGTAATATATGATCTCTTTGATTTATAGATTCAGAATGTTCTTCATGAATTTTTTGAAAATCCAGATTTCCAGCTTGGTAAGCATGCCTATTAATATAGTATTTCTGTTTCTTTCTATTTTGAGGGGAAGAGGAGGGATGTTGAATTAAGATGAAGAGTCAATATTGAGATTGATGTTATTCAAAGCTCTTACAGATATATTTTTAATACTTAAGCCTTTTTTTCTCTTTGGAGATGGAGAATGTAGAAAAGCAGAGAAGCAATCAGTGAATTTTCAATCCTTCTAGCCTAGTGCCCCATTTTACTGCAAATATTCTGTAATACCCCTTTATTATCCTATCAAATTCCTAGAAAATATTACATACACAGAATTTTAAAAGAAAGATAAAATTTCATAAATGTAATGCAAAGGAGAAATAAAAGATATAAAAATTATATGTACTATATTTCACTATATAAATGCTTGGTTATAACTTCATTATAGAACATAATGGAGTAGTACCATTTGTCCCTACTTACAGTGAATGTTTAGATAATAAGAAAAGTGAGGGGAGTCCTTTTCATTGTCATTAGTTTCTGGTGCATCTTTCACTGTCCTGTCAATGTAAGTGCTCCCTTTCAGCCCTTTGAGGAGAAGATAATCTGAAGCCCAGGGAATAGAGACTTCCCTATGAAACTTTAGACATTCGTAAGAAACTTTATTAATAGGTAGACAGTAGTAATTACATATAAATGGTTCTTGGCATTATAAAAAGCAGATTATGATCAAATGACACTTTGAGTAAGCCTCTAAATAGCTGGACTTCTCTATTGATTTACTATTCTAGAATTGAGTCTGTAGTCTACTCATTATTCTAGAACATTGATGCATGTTTGCATTGTCCTTGTATCTGAAGAATTTTTCCCAATGCTCTCCATCAGTACGCATCTAGATCTAAGGAAGTATGATGGCATTACCTTTTTGAAAGTGTAAAATCTAACCACTCACTAGACCTGTGTATAGTTGTGACAAAGTGGCAAAATCTGAGCTGATGTAAACTGTCTGTGCATTCAGATTTTAAGACAGAAACATTTCAGCTCTGCTCTTGTGTGACTTTTCTTCCCTTAAAACAAAATACTGGTTTCTAAGTGGTGCGGCTATACTTCAAAGAATGCCTAGATCCAAGCGACTCCATTTTAAAACCAAAAGAAAAACTCAAAGGGCAGTTCTTAAAGGAGTCAGAGGAAAATACTAAGCAATTCATTCCTCTGCTTGTCAATGGTATAATGATGTGTTGTCTATTACTAGAATGGGCCCTCCTGGATTTAAACAGATGCTTTCCCCCTTGGATTTTCTCCTACATAGAAATATAAATGATTGGCAAACCCCCCCCCCCCAAAAAAAACAAGAAAACAGTAAAGTAAAATTATATCTAAAATTATATCTAATTAACCATTTATTTTATTTGAAAGTTTGAAATAAGAACAAAATGAAGGAATTTGTATATATATGTAGAATCCCCATGAATAGGAGAAGTATAAAACACAGGCTGACACAGTGTGTTGTATTTGAGTTCAGATAAAATGTATGCTATTACCTCCCATTACATAATTTCCTGAAATGGTGAATAACTCTTGGTAAAGTTCCAGAAAGAAACAGAGTACAATCCTCTCTCAAATTTTCATAGTAATTACATTCTTCAAAAATTCAACAACAAAAATTGTTCTATGTTTATATGTAAAATAAAATTAGGTTCTAGACTCCAAATTATTCTAAGCAGATTTTTCTTGAATTTCTGGCAGGAGAGGGAGAGTCCTTACTATGCAGGAATTGCAGGAGTTCTGCTTCTACTCCTATTCCCCATCACTGTAGCAACAAAAACTCACCTACAGATTTCCTCCATGCTCACAGGGGAGGAGGGAAACAGTACTATACCTATAGATAGCCACAGGTTTTGATGCTTTTGTTTTCATAAAAGTTTCCTTATATGGGATTAAGCAAAAACCAAACCAAAAAAAAAACAACAAAAACAATGGACGTATTGAATAAAGAACTAGAGTTTGGGTCCTGAAATTTATATCATTTATAGCCAAATGATTTTTTTCAGTTGATTTTTGCCCACTTTAATACATTGATAACAACAGATTGTCTGCAGGATGTTCTTACTTTTAAAAATACAGTAGTACCTTGGTACTCGCTGTTAATTCATTCTGGAACTCCTGATGAGTGCCAAAACTGATGAGTACTGAACTATGAAGCGTTTTCTCTTATGGGGCAGGTGACATTACTCACAAGTTCTGAACAAGTGTGAGTGTTGAAACATTTTTTCCTCGTCAAAATGTGAGTACAGGGTTTGATGCATCATGAAGCCAACGAGTACCGAGATATGACTGTAGAATATACTTCCTGTCCTCCCAATCACTGTTTCCCAAACATGATTTGGGCCTTGCTGTCACTGTTTCCTCTTCCTATCTTTACCGCCTATCCAAAAACTATAATTCTTCACAGTCACCCCAATCTCAACTCACCTTTTAGAAAATTTTTGAAATTACTTTTTAAATTTATTTAGTTTTTGATGGGGGTACAGAGGAATGAGTTAAGAGAGCTCTGTTTGAGTTTGTGATAAAATTCGAGAATTTAGAACACTCTAGTTGACAGATTTTTTCTTCTCTTATCTCCTATATAGTATTTATTTTCTGTACCATTTATTCATTCAATACTTATTGAACTCTCACTTAGTTACAGATACTGTGATGGGGTAGAAGATAGAAAGAGGATTAAGATATGTTCCCACTGCCCTTAAATTGCTCAAAGTTCAGCCAGCATTAGAAGCATAATATGTAATAACAACTGTTACTAGTAGAAACCAGTCTGGCTTGCATAATCTTCCAGAGCTTGGGGGAGGATCTGGGATGGAGATAATAGTATTTAATACGTACACTTTACTAAAATTTATGCAGTCTCTTTATGACAATAACTGACATCTCATAATAAGCAGTTAAAAAATCAAGAGTGACTGAAGAATATTTTTATCCACCAGCCCATGATTGTCAGGAGGAATTACTGTTAGAAGTGGGAGAGGAAGTCAGTGTATTAATTCTTTCATCTTGAGCTTTCATACAATTTGCTTTTTTGTGTTTTGGTACAGTCAATAAGGATCACATAATTGTCACATTAAATGGAAGTTTAAAAAATCTTTATTCATACTAACTGCCACATTCACCATTATTTATCACTCTGTTATTCATGAAACTTTTTTTCTTTGCTTTTGTGATATCATTCTCTCTTGATTTTTTTCTTCTATCTTTGATCATCTTTAGTATTTTTGTTTCTCGGTTCTTCTTTTCTTTGCACCTTAAAAGCTGTTCTCCAGAGTTTACTTTTTGGCTCTATTATCCTTTTACACACAACATGCACTCCCTGATTTTTCTTATTCAAACCCATGGCTTCAGCTGACTCTTATCCATATTCTCATCTCAAACCTTCCCCTTGAACTTCAGATTCTATTTCAAAAGATCTACAACATGAGTGGTTAAATGAAAAAAGCGAGTTGCAGATCAATATGATCACCTTTATACATAGAAAAACAAAAGATGTGTGTGTGTGTGTGGTCTTTAATACTATTGATGTGCATATTTGTTTCTGCTTTATTTCAACCTAGTCATTAAAAAGGTCAGCACATTCTTTTCACTGTTTGGGTTGTTTGGTTAAATAAAAGCCAAGAAAAATAATAATTTTGTAACGATTAGAATGTTACCCAACTACATATCATTTTCTTTATTGTAAATATTGATAGACATTAATTAAGAAATACTTTTATATTCTTCTTTTAAAGCACTATAATATAAATATAAAACATGAATGTATTGTAACCACACTAACTAGCAAATTACCTTTCTTCCATAATTAGAAGCAAGTTGCAAACAGTGGAATATTGCTGACTCAATGGAACAAAGATTGAACAAAATGGAGTTTGCAGAAGTAAGAAGTTACATTATTCATTATTTGACTCAATTATTTTGCCCGTTTCAGTTGTCTTTTGGGGGATGTCACATATATATTAACTTAGAATTAAATTAAATGAAAACATAATGGAATCAAATTAAATTAAAGTACAATAACTTATCAATTCTAAGATGCACACTTTAAAATATTATAATACCTCTGAAATTAGGCTACATCTTATTTATAGTCAAAGGTATCTTACAATTTCTTTCAATCAGTGGCACTTATGATGTAAAAGTGTGACGAACTTTCACTGACACCTTCGGGTAAGATCAAGAACCAGCTTCTAGTATTCAGTGAATCTGGTTACATAAATAATAATGAAATCTAAAACTTACCTATGCGCCAGGCACTGTCCTAAGCTATCCATACAGTGTGGGGCAAAAGTAGGTTTACAGTTGTGAATATGAGAAAGACAGAGTTTACTTTTGTATTATTATATATTAATTATTGCATTATTTTCCATATGAAAAAGTGTAAACCTACTTTTGCCATACCCTCTATATTAACTCAGATAATCCTCTCAGTAATCCTTACTCCTAATTTCATAGGTGAACATACTGACGTGCAAAAAGTTCACATAACTTGCTCAAGGTCTGACAGTGGAGTTGGGGAAATTTGTATTTAGGAAGTTTGGTTTCAAAGTCTACATAATAATTGCATCTGGGAAAGTGCAATTCTGTTGTAATGGAATAAGCAAAAGAAGCAATTTAATGGTACCAGACTTCTAAGTCTTCTATAGCCTTCTTTTATATTTTTTCATCTCTTTCTTCTACTTTTCCTTGTTTTTGTCTGAGTCCTAGAGTCACGGTGACTTTCTTCTTCTGCTCTCCTACTCCCTTGCTCCATTGAAGGTGATGACTATGCACTACATACAATTTCAAAGTTCTGTATGAAGAATTTCTGAAATCTTTCTTGAAATGCTAACCACATAGATAAGAGTTTGGCAATCCTTTCTTACTTATGTCCTGTGTTTTCTTACATTCTGTATTTGTTTATTTGGTATCCATTAGTCACAGGACCAAAGTTGTTTATATACTCCCCCCGATTCAGAGGTCCATACTCTGAATCACCTCCTTATCTAAATTGAACTTACCAAGCCAATATTTTTCAAGGTTTCTCAATTGTTTAAAAAGTTTAAAAGACGTTTTAAAACTCACAGAAATTTTTTGTTAATTTTTATGTAAAGAAATTTATTGATTTTTTTTTTTAGGTCTTTCCCACTACTCCTATGCTTAGAAGCTTTTTTCCTTCCCAAGATAGCTACATATCCACCCATTTTTTTCTAGATTTTTTTATTTTTTAAATTAATCAGAAAATTATTTTGATAAATAATTAAGGGAGACTCTAACTTCATGTCTCCCCTAAAATGACTAGCCAAATATACCACTCTATTTATTGAACAAAACTTTCTTTTACAAGTAGCTAATTTTCATCATTTTTCCTTCTTTTCAATGGAAAATAAAAGTAGAACATTTTACAAAATTCGAATAACTGAAATTTTTTAGTGTCTGTGTAAATTCAATTTCATCAGAAAGAAGAGTATTCTTTATGACATGAATTTCCTCAAGAATGTGTGTATTTTAATTCATGAATTATTGTGTTGGTATCAGATAAATCAAAACCAGAAGGACAGAAGAGAGGTTTTCCTTTTTTGAAAAAAAATTCAGCCACAACTAACACATCACAATTTTCAGTAAAAATTTTTTCAGTCTTTCCCAGGTAAATTATATAGAATTGATGAGAAAATCCTAGTTCCTTGTGGTCTCTCGTTACCTTGCCTGCTGTTGAGAAAGCCATCACCCTTTCATTGTATTTTCATATTTCTTGAAAAAGGCAATTTAATTTGCCAGGCTGCAATGAAAAGATTAATCATGGTGTGACTTCTTATCCCTGTTCAATCAAGAATAAATGTATTTCAGAGTTCCAATTTACCTATAAATGCCAAAATAATATCTTTGGAGTAAATTTTTTAAAGGTAAGAGAATTATCATTAGAGTAATGCTGTAAAAATGAACACCCAGTCTCCCCAATTTGCAGAGAGAGGGAGGTCTTCTTTAGCAATGCCATGTTAAAATGTAATTTCTTTGATTCTTTCTTGTGATTGGAGACCTTTTCATATTTCATATTTCCTCAATACTAAGGTGAACAGTTTTCTTTTTCTACCTCAGAAATCAAAATGCATCTTATACATGATGGGGATGTCTATGGGCTGAGCAATGATGATTTCATAGGTTTATACTTATTTCCAAACACTTGAATTGTGTATATTAAATATGTACAGATTTTTACATGTCATCCATACGTCAATAAAGTATATTTCTAAAAAAGATGAATCTTACAATCAATGTATACATTTAATGGAATAATATTTTCCTCTCTTTCCAACCCCCAAAATCTGTTCTTAATAGTCTATCTTATGATTGGTGATTTTTGCTAATTGAAAAAAAATGCTATTTACACTTTATAGGTAAAGCACCTAACATAAAATAACAAAAAATAAAATTAAGAGAATTGTTAAAGGAATGTCTGATAATTAAAATAAGCAATCAAAAAAAACTGAGCAGGTTTCAAAATTAAAAATAATTTAATGGAATTATGACTTTCTTATATTTTAAGTGCTAAAGTTCTATATTTGTAAAATTTAAAATTAAAAAAGATAATAGGACACTTTTAAACTATGAGTTTATAGAAAATTATAATAGACTATATAAAAATACATTATAAATGTAAGGTAAGTGAAAAAAAGTCCACAATAATTATGGCAATATTAAAACTTTTTTATAACAGCTCTATTGAGATGATTCACAAACTACTTATTTTCTATGGCTGCTGTAAAAAATAACCATGAATTTGGTGCTTTAAAAAATCAGAAATTTTATCTCTCAAAGTTCTGAGGGGGCCAGAAGCCCAAAATATTATCACTGTGCCAAAATCAAGTTGTTGGTGGGTCTGTACTCACTCTGGAGGGTATAGTGGAGAGTTGCCCCTTCTTGCCTCTGAAGGCTGCTTGTATTCCTTGATTTATGGCCACCTCACTGATCTCTGCCTCTGTAGTCACAAGGCCTCCTCTTTGTGTGAGAAATTTCCCTCTTACAGGGGTATGTATGATTGCATTTAGAGCTCAACCAGGTAATCCAGGATAATTTCCTCACCTCAAATACCTTAACTCAGCAATTTTCAGCTGGTGTGCTGCAGTGCAAGAGGCACACTGGTATGCTGTGAGAATTTTTAAAAACACACAATATCTGACTAGTTAGGGGCACTGACCTCTTTCCCCCTAAATTGTCAAATTAAAAATAACAACTAACACAAGAATAGCCCTCTGGTGTGAATGAATCAAAACTATACCTTTTTTTTTTTTTTTTTTGGTTGATTGGCAAAAAATACATTTTTGGTGTGCCACAGAATTTTAGTAATTAGTTTATTAAAAAGGTTGAAAATTGCTGTCTTCTCTCAATCACTGCTACAAAGACTGTATTCCCAAATAAGATAATTTACAGGTAATATTAGGATCTGATATCTTTCAGGGTCATTATTCACCCATTTAAGGTATATGACACAATGGCTTTTAGTAAAGTTACAGAGTTGTATAGCCATTAAAACAATGCACTTTGTAATATTTTCATCCACCCAAAAAGGAACCCCATACCTATTTATTAGCAGTCATTTCCCATTGCCCTTCTAACCTCCAGGCAAGGCAACCACTAATCTGTCGGTCTCTTATAGCTTTACCTATTCTGGAAATTTCAAATGAATGAAATCATAAAATAAGTGGCCTTTGTTATTGGTTTCTTTTACTTAGTAAAATGTTATCAAGTTTCATCCACATTTTAACATGTATCAATACTCCATTTCTTTTTATTGCTGAATAATATTCCTGTGTAAGAACATATCACATTTTATTTATCCAGTCATCAGTTGATGGACATTTGGGTTGTTTTTACTTTTTGACTATAGTGAATATGAACATTTATATACAAGTTTTTGCAAATGAGAGTTCCATTTGCTCCACATCCTCATCAACTCTTGTTGTTCCTTAGTTTGTTTGTTTTTTTAAATTATAGCCATTTCTGTGGGTATGAAGTGGTAGCTCTCTGTGGTTTGAAATGCATTTCTGTGATAGCCAAAATGATATTGGGTATATTTATATGTGTATATTGGCCATTTATATATCTTCCTTGAAAAAATATCTATTTAGATCCTTTGACCATTTTTAAATTGGGTTATTTGTTTTTTATTATTGAGTTATGAGTTCTTTATGTATTCTAGGTATAATCCATTGTCAAATATATAATTTGTAAATATATTCTCCTATTTTGTGGGTTTTCTTTTCACTTTCTTGATGGTGTCCTTTGAAGCCCAATAGTTTTAAAGTTTGATGATGTTCTATTTATCTACCTTTTTTTTGTTTTACTGCTTTTTCTTTTGGAATCATATCTAAGAAACCATTACCCAACTCAAGGTCATAAAGATAGAGGGTTAAGTTTTATAGTTTTAACTCTTACATATATGTCTATTTAAGTCTTTGATCCATTTTGAGTTCATTTTTGTATATGATATGAAATAGTAAAACTTTAAAAAATTACTTGATAAGTCAAAATCATAAAAAATAAATAAGAATATAAAGTACCTGTATTCTCAATAAGACATTATATTAGTGTGTATCAAACTTTAATCCCTACAGTGACCCTATTCTGTGTCCCAGTTTTCATGGAATATTGGTAAAAATTTATTATAAATAGGCCACCAAGAAAACCATGTAAGTTCTAAGATCTAGAAATCTGACATGTCAGATTCTCTTGTTATGTAATGAAACTGGAAAATAATAAACAAAATTTAAAATTATTTAAGCCCAAACTTTTGGAAATTTAAAAATACTCAAATAATTCTTGGGTTAAAATCTTACAACTAATTTTATGGAATGCTACTAAATGTTTACTCAGACAAAAAACTATAGTCTTAAAACTTTTAAA